TGTTTATCCCCGTAGGAGAAGTTGCACACGACGGATCGAAGCATGGAGGTATACACATAGTGCGAAGAACGATCAAGATCATGTATCGGTGTGGGTTTCGCAAGACGAGCAAGTTCGCCAGTTACCCATCCAACACTTGCGCTCGAACCTTCTGCTGTCCTTTCATGCGGCAGTGAAAGATATTTGAAACGGTTACGGTACCTCGTCAGGCCCTTGCCATCACAAGACTCGTCGTTGCAGTCCTCGCAGACATGTCTGGAAGAAGCACCGGAGAATGGCGGAAATAGTGGTATTGCTTCTTCAGCACACAAGTCAGGGGTACGACGCGGTCGCCTCTAACGGTCCGCCGACTGACGTTGGCTGCCACGCTGCTGTCACCGTCTCGAATGTTGGAGAACACAAACATCATCATTCGCCAACCAACCAGGCGGCTTCTCGCCACCAACTGGTTTCGACGCCGACTCTTTGGAAATGGCAGTTGCTATCCCCTGCTGTTTGTTAGTGCTGCGAGCCTTACCGCTTCTTCACCGCATACTTTTGTAGGAGACTAGGATATTGGTGACCATGTTCAACGTGCCACGTCCCTCAGCTTCTCGCAGGCAGTGGAAACAGTTCGGTACATGCTGCATGGCGAAGGCTCAATGCCCGTACACTTTACGAAGGCCGCTATCAAGGGATGGCACCGCTTGAATACCTAGGTGCTGAGGGATGAGAGTACGCAAGCGGAACAAAAACACAGAATATTAATTACCAATTCCTGTCAGAAGTTGCAAACTTGTCGCGATTGGAGACACGAGGATTAGAAAAATAGCTTGGCTGTGTAATAACCACGGCCAGAATAGACTAGACTGCATGTGGAGGAAAATGTCTCCAAAGTTGCTAGGCTGGGGGTCTCGGCCAAGAAAATGGTTATTTTGTGGGGTAGCATGTTCCTGGTTGGAGCACCAGACTCTACCTCCCAGCGCCACTTCTTCCTTGGGATGGAGCATGCAGAGGTGGATTACTCGGCGGGCTCACTCTGTGTGCTAGCCTCTAGGTGCGCTTACCCCCTTACTATTTATTGTATTTATATTCTTTTATAGATGAAGTCATTTATAGTAAAATAAATATATACTAATATAAAGCTTAATAGCGAGGTACCAGGTAAGGCGTAAGTGCACCTAGCAAAAAGAGTCGAGTGAGCCCGCCGAGTAAGCCCGCCGAGTAATTCACATCCCGAATCCCCTCTGGTGTGTTAAGGCTCCAGTAAGGTATTTGTAGGGATGTGTATCCAATGAGAAGCCAGACGTAAGGGGTACATGTATCTACTAGTAAATTAGGTAATAATAAAGGTCACTATGACGGGCTTAATACAAATTACTACTTCATGATATACCGAAATTTAGGGTGCTGTTAAAGTCATCCGAGGTTGCTAGCTGACTACAGGGGTGTTGTGGAGCCCGTGACCCCACTGAGCCTTAACACACCAGAGGGGATACCGGTCAACTCCTCGGTACCTAATAGGGTTACGCGCCATGTATGCGTGCAACAATTTTGACCGGGCCCTCAAGGCCAACGCCATCACATCCTCTCGGATCGGCCCTGTCGATTGAAACGGTCAAAACGGTAGAAATTGAAGCCCGATTTCAACAAAAACTTGGACACTCAGATAGTTAGCTAGGTGAACTAGAAAGCTGTGCGCTTTTGTTCAGCTTAATTGCATCCTTGGGGAGTCGAGACATGATCCCAGCCGCCAACTTCGCGTCTCTTGCGACAAATTGATATCTTCTTCTGCCAACCCTGCTCCGATTAAATTGTCACCCTCTGGCTTAACGCTTGCCAAGCCCCGCGCTCCTGGCGCAGACGTCATGTGGCTGCTTGTGGAGGCCGCCGGTAATATGGACTAGTACCAGACATCGACCATGATAGAGCTACAGATGGTTCATGATTTGCACAGCTCTCTTGCGCTCCACCCAGGACCCTGCTCAATGCCAGTGCTCACCATCCACCCTTGTTCTTGAGTCTTGGACATCTGCCCTCGAGCTTCCTCACGTCCGCTCGTGCCAAAAGTCTTTGACATCGATTCTGGCATGAACGCATTGCTATTCGACGTCAGGGCTCGTGTCGGCTTTTACAACTGTACAGTCCATTCTTATTCTAGAGACCGCCTATCAGTCAATTGGCATACTCCGCTGAATATCTAGATTCTAGATATCTCGACTCTCCGCTGGGGACCGCATTGTCGTGCCTGTTTCAACACCATGCCCAACACGACCAACAGATGGAGGTGGTCAGCCATTGACCGCGTTCTTGGCTCCAACGGCAATCAAGGGACACGGGCTCATGATCTGGCCGGTGAGGAAGAAAGAGCATGTGAGTTTGACTATTATTCGCCTATATTCTATGCGATAATGTCATTGTCAACGACATGTAGCACACCAGACAAATCTTGCTAATATCTCTGACTTGCTCTACCTCGACAGTACTCCCACATTTCAATCACCAGCAGATGACCTCGGCCGTGCCCGCGTCCGAAGTTACCAAAATATGCCTTCGCCTGCGCCATCTGGTTCAAGAATGCGTGCCGTGTGAGATGGAGGAGAGCCGCGTCACAGCGCCCCATAGTCGCATCATTACAACCAAGGTTGTTCAGGCGGCCAAGGAGGCTGGCGGCCAGGAGTATAGAGGATGCGTGGTAAGTGTCGCTGCAGTTGTGCCTCACTCTGAGCCGCAGGCCTAATTATGTAGGTGTTTTGTTTGTTGGTCAACCAGCGTTGGTTCCGACGTGAAGCTCTCATAGAGCTATGGGATTCGAGCTTGCACAAACTGCGAGCAGAGGCGTGTGCCGTCATTTCAAAAGCCTTGTAAGACCTTGTCCTGGGTATTCGAGCTTTCATCTCGAAATCCTTTAATATTGTTGTCAACTAACGCCCTGGGCTAGGATTGAGAACGAAGAAGATACCAATTATCTATTGTACTCCGTGTTACTTCATCGATACTCATATATAGCAAACGGCATACCCACCCCGCCGGTGAATGTGATCGAGAAGGCTGTTGACTTGCATTCCGTCCGAGTCATTGGGTCGTCCGGATATCAGAAATGTATCAATTACTTGTGGCGTGGCTGGCTTGTGCAGGATGAAAATGACCCATCCGTCTTTGTTGATTACAAAGACAAGGATAATCCAAACTTTTTCGTCCATATGGATCCAGAACGCATGAGAGCTCCTCGAAACCAGAATGCCGCCCAGTTACTGTTCTCTGTCATCTATCTTCTACTCTACACCATCGCCGTCAACTCCATCAACGCTTCGGGAATTTTGGATGGGGCCGAGGTTGCCCTATATCTTTTTACCCTCGGATATATCTGCGACGAAATTATGAAATTCTACAAGGCAGGATACCATATTCTTGGCTTCTGGAATGCCTTCAATGGTGTTCTGTACTCGTTTTTAACCGTCTCTTTAGTTCTCCGAGTCATTGGCCTGGCTGCAGCCCCTGACTCGCAGTACCGCGAGCATTACAACAAGCTGAGCTACAATATGCTTTCCTTTGTTGCTCCTATGTTCTGGTGTCGGCTGATGTTGTACCTTGACAGCTTTCGTTTCTTTGGAGCCATGCTTGTTGTGCTCAAGGTCATGATGAAAGAGTCCGTTATTTTCTTCGCTCTTCTTATAATCATCATTATTGGGTTTCTTCAAGCCTTTATTGGATTGGACCTGACAGATGATAACGTTGCCAATGATGTCTTGTTTATCATTGAGTCGATGACGAAAGCCATCTTGCAAAGTCCCGAGTTTGAAGGATTCGAAGGCTTTGGTCCCCCGTGGGGCATCATTCTGTACTACTGCTTTACTTTTGTCGTCATGGTACGTTTTACTAATATCTCCATCGGGGAAAAAAAAAGTCGAAAGACGTCATTGACACGTACTTCTAGATTATTCTCCTCAACATCCTTATTGCTCTGTATAACTCTGCCTACGAGGATATTTACGAGAACGCCGACGACGAGTATCTAGCTCTCTTCTCCCAAAAGACTATGCAGTTCGTCAGGGCTCCGGATGAGAACGTGTACATTGCACCATTTAACCTCATTGAGATCGTTATCTCAGCCCTTTTCGAGTGGTGGATGCCAAAGCACATGTACGAGGTGATAAACGACTACGTGATGGCTGTCATATATTCGCCTCTGCTATTTGTGTCGGCATTTTTCGAGACGCGTGCTGCTCACCGCATTCGACATAACAGGTCGAGGGGAGACGAAGATGACGATGTGGTGGAGGAGTGGGAGCAATTGGAACATGAGCTTGATATGGAGGCTGAGGGTTGGACCAAAACGTGCGATTCTGTGAAGCCGAATATGGAGGATGATCCTGCAGTTTTGGAAGTCCGAAAACTACGTACCGAGCTCGAAGAGCTGAAAGCAATGTTGAAAGAAAGGACTCAGGATGTCGGGGGTAATAAGACCGACGACAGCGACAAGTTGGGTGGGGGGAACCCTTCCAGGACAAGTGATGACCAGTAGTATGGGCAAAATGAAGTTTGGATACGTAGTACTCAATTGTGCATTCGCGGCAGTGGAAGGGTGAATTGCTCGGCGGGCCGACTCTTTTTGCTAGGTGCGCTCAGGCTCTACCAGGTACTTGGGTATTAGTTTTATATTATATTATATATATTAGTATGTACTTTATGATACGCAAATATATAATATATTTTGCGACAAATTACTAAAGTATATAAAGGCAGAGTTTAAATACAGTAAATACCTACCTAGGTAGTAGGGGATAAGCGCACCTAGCAGAAAGAGTAAGCCCGCCGAGCAATTCTCGTGGAGGCTACCTTGCCAGCTCCTGGAATTCTGTGGATTGTGTTTCCAAAGGTTTGTCGAAGCGGACTAATCACATTGCACTGATGGCTATTGGAATATGAGTGATTCTTGGCATTATGACATCTAGTCAATTGATGCTAACTTTATCCTTAGCATCCGTGCCCGAGCTGTTTGATCTGTACACAATCAATGCTCACTCTTCTGGGGGGAAATACTTGCTGCATCATCATATTAGCGAAGACCTTTCCCAAAAACTAACACTTGTATCAAACTTACGGAAGTGCATCCTTGTATGCAATCACATCCTTCTGCTCAAAAGTAACAAACACTACTCTGTCCAGAGCACCGCCGTCATCGTCTAGAAACTTTCTCACGGTTTCGCAAGCGACCCGTGCGGCATCTGTGGAAGGATAACCATAAACACCGGTGCTAATCGCGCTAAAAGCCAGAGTTTTGATGCCTGAAGATACCGCCAGACCCAAGCTTGTCTGATAGCAGCTCCTTAGCAAGTTTTCACTTGTCTGTGGATGACGGCGATCGTATATTGGCCCAACAGTATGTATGACATGCTTCGCAGGCAGCTCGTACCCCTTGGTCAGGCGGGCATCTCCTGTAGAGCAACCCCCGATTCCACGGCATTCGTACAGGAGTTCGGGCCCAGCAGCACGGTGGATGGCCCCGTCAACGCCGCCTCCACCAAGCAGCGTCGTGTTGGCTGCATTCACAATTGCATCCAGTTGGAGCTTCGTAATATCGCCGCGGATGAGGCCGACGCGAGAGTTAATGGATGTTGAAGGTTGGAAGAGAGAAGGAGAGGGTGGCGGCGATGTAGCTTTTTGGAGAGCTGATTCTCGATAAAGTTGAGCCACGGTAGGTATGTCCATGACAGCTTTGATAGGGGCTCGGGCCATTGTGACGACTGAGATGAACCACAAATCCTGTCGTTTTCTTTCGCAGAGTAAGCTTGAACAAGGACTAGAGAATGCTGGCTTGAAGCTGGATCCGCAAGGGCAGTGTTCTTTGCCTCTATGAATAAGGCATGAACTCTTGTCCTTTGGGCCAGGCTAGGGACAGAACCAGGGTCAAGACTCAAGACGAAGGTGATTGAATGTAGTGTTGCAGGTACGAAGATCAGACTACATGGAAACGCTTTCTAATTTTGACTGGAAAGCGTGTGTAGCACGCGAAAGTAAGGCAAAAAGGCCGTCAATTCGATTATTAGCCGCTTGTACAGTGTTCAAATATTGATGGACTGCATGTTGAACACAGTAGGTAGTTGGGTGGGTTGTTGAGGGCTCGGCTTACTGTGCTAGCAATGTTGGCCCCGACCCTGACATGGACGCAGTTTCGCTTATCGTGCTTATCGCTCCCGCTTTGTGATCGAGCCCCTCGCCAACCACTCAGACGTTTTTCACACCCCGCCATCCTGCTCCCGAGTCACATACCAGTCACCGCTGGCGGCAGAACAGCAATCTCATACCTACACGGTCAACTCTTACCGCGGATCCCGAAGTTCAAAGCAACCACCGAAGCGGTTTTCATCTTGAATTGACCTACCTTTGCCGTAGGACTTGCGACAATGGCCGACGACGCCACAAAGAACATGGCCAAGCTTCAGCTTGACGATGTCACCGGTGAGATGGTGTCGAAATCTGAGCTGAAGAAGCGCCAGCAGAAGCGAGCTAGAAAGGCTGCGCAGGAGAAAGTCCGCCAAGAGAAAGCAGCAGCCGGTCCAACTCAAAAAACAGCAAGCCCAGCTCCAAAGCTAGAAGAGATCCCTGCCGATCCCGAAGCCATGTTCAAGCTGGGCTTCCTCCATGACGTCTATCGCGAACGACCCGAAAACAAAGTTGTCACTCGTTTTCCACCAGAGCCCAATGGATATCTGCATATCGGTCATGCCAAGGCCATCGCTGTCAACTTTGGCTTTGCCAAGTACCACGGTGGTGTTTGCTACCTGCGATACGATGATACCAATCCAGAGAAGGAAAAGGAGGAGTACTATACCGCAATCCAGGAAATTATAAAATGGCTAGGATTTGAACCGTACAAGATTACATACTCTAGCGACAACTTCGACAAGCTTTATCAGCTTGCGGAGAAGCTGATCAGTCTGGACAAGGCCTATGTTTGTTCATGTAATGGTATGCAGCGGTTGTCGGCAATTGCTTTATTCAGACTCTGCAGGAAGCTAAATCTCACTCAATCATAGATGTCGAAATCAAACTTCAGCGAGGAGGCGAGAAAGGGGCAACTCCCAGATACCGCTGCCAACATGCCGAGCAAACCCCTGAGGACAACTTAACCAAATTTCGAGACATGCGTGACGGCAAGTATAAGCCCAAAGAAGTGTTCCTCCGCATGAAGCAGGACATCACCGATGGCAACCCCCAAATGTGGGATTTGGCTGCGTACCGGATCAAAACGGACGAGCCCCATCACCGTACTGGCTGGGATTGGAAAATCTACCCAACTTATGACTTCACGCATTGCTTGTGTGACAGCTTCGAGGGAATTACACACTCACTATGTACCACCGAGTTCATCCTTAGCCGTGTGTCGTACGAGTGGCTCAACAAGTCGCTCGAGGTTTACGAGCCTATGCAGAGGGAATATGGACGCCTCAACTTGACTGGTACTGTGCTGTCAAAGCGAAAGATCTCGAAGCTCGTTGAAGAAAAGATTGTGAGAGCTTGGGATGATCCAAGACTCTACACTCTTATTGGTATTCGTCGACGTGGTGTCCCACCTGGTGCCGTTCTCAATTTCGTTAATGAACTTGGCGTCACCACAAACATCACAACCATAGCTACCAACAGATTCGAGCAGGTTATTCGAAAATATCTGGAAAAGACTGTTCCTAGGCTAATGATGGTTCTCGACCCGGTGCCTTTGGTCATTGAAGATGCTGAGGCCGTGGACATAGAGCTGCCTCTTTCGGATCGAGCGGACATGGGATCCCGCACAATTCACTTCACACCAACCGTTTACATTGATCGATCAGATTTCAGAGAAGTGGATAGCGAGAATTATTTCCGTTTGGCTCCTGGAAAGACTGTTGGCCTGCTGAACGCCCCGTACCCTGTCAAGGCTGTGTCTTTTACCAAGGATGAAACCACAGGAAAGGTGACGGAAATCCGCGGTGTCTTTAACAAGGAGGCCGTAAAGGCCAAGGCATATATCCAATGGGTTGGCACCGAAGGTTCACGAAACGTAGAAGCCCGAGTGTACAATGCTCTCTTTAAGTCAGAAAAGCCAGATGATGCGGAAGGAGGCTTTTTGAACGATCTTAACCCAGACAGCGAAGTTATCTACCCCAATGCCGTGATCGAGTCAGGATTGGATGAAGTCAAGCGCCGAGCACCGTGGCCCGAGGCTGCCGGTGAGAGCGAGCTTGGTAAAGGGGGTCCCGAGAGTGTGCGCTTCCAGGCCATGCGTGTTGGGTACTTTGTAGGTTCCAGCTGTTCATTACATGCCTTGGAGACAGACCAGCGTTACCATGGCTGCTAACCATGACATTTTACATAGGCAATGGATTCCGACAGCACTGAAGACAAAATTGTATTGAACCGGATTGTGAGCTTGAAGGAAGACGCTGGCAAGAAAGAATAATAGAACAGGCATTTTTGACAGGCGTTTCGCGAGACGGAGAGGGTGGTTACTCCGAGTCGAGATGGTCCTGGGCTGGCAAACTAGACGGGTAGGGCGGTTGATTGCTAGTGCAGCATTGAAAACTCGACGTGGCGAGATTCTTTGTTCGCAATAGACTCCGTTTCATGATGAAAGAAATACACGAACGAAAATAAATACTACTGTGAGGACACTAGGGCCCAATCATCTTGCCCAAGTTGACAGAATGCTCTGGTATTCTTTTATCATCACACTCCACATGGCGGGCTCCCCCCAGAATAAGATAAGATTAAAGGCGGGCTAGATTAGTAACAGCCCAAATACTTGCAGATACTATCATGATTCGGCAGACAGTCGGACCACTGAGATAAACTTGCTGCGACCATGTGGCTGGAAGACTAAAGCGGAGTGGAACGGGATAAGTACCTAGGTACTAGTCAAATGTATCTCGTCCATACATGCCTCTGCCGGCATGCTACACATCCAACGAAATGCAACGGCGACAGCCACTGACGGAAAGCAGTCTAGTGGCCCGGCAGAAAGCTCTGACAGGTTTCAACGACGACTCAGGGACCGGGTTTGCCGAGCAACTAGTACTCAGTACAGTACGTACCCCGTAGCGGCGGCTGTAGTACTAGTACTATGGAGTTTTGCATGGGCATTTGGAACCTTCCCAAGGACGGTGGGAGCCGCATCCAACACGATCCGTCAAGTTGTTCGATGCTCTGCGTGAGTTTTGCTCACGGCCAATTGCGCACTTGTCGGCATCTCCAAGATCGAGGCCGCGCCCCAATTGATGCAAGATCTGTCCGTGCCAGCCACAGGTATCCTCCACCACAAGCTATTTTTGGCATTGGGCGGCGACACTCATTCGAAAACCAGAGGTGTACGAAGTAACAACAGCAAAGTTGAGGTAGGTCCTTAGGTAGGTGTATGGAGCCTGTTCGAAATATGAGAACCGACAATGGACACTGGACGAAGATTGGCCTGACAAACTACGGAGTAGTATTGCCAGCCGATTCCAAGGACTGACATCGAACGTCTGGACGCGAGACATGCACGGGCAGAGCTGAGGCTACCGTCAGCCTCGTTGAGCCTCTTTGAGACAGACACGCCTCAGACTTGACAAGAAGTCGTACATACGTAGTACTCAAAGGTGTGCGGGTGTGTCTTGGCACTTACATAAGACAGGAGCGGCAACGGTGGATCAGATCGACCTGACGGCACTCCCTCATCTCACTGCAGCGTAGTATTTCGACAAGAACATTTTGCATCGGGGTGATGATGATAGATGCCGCGAAGAACAACGGGGCAGGCGAATTGACTGGCCTCGCCAAGTTGCTTCTGCTGACCACCCATGGCTACTAGTACCACGGCCGCGGGTTGGTGGTCGGCTCGCTCGCCCTTAATGGATTTTGCCTTTCGCCGCAGCGCCTTGGGCCCTCGCCGCCTCACCGTCTCATCTGTCGTAGCAGAACCTAGGCACTCTGTTCTCGAGTTTGCCTGCACTGGTGCACCTACTAAACAAGCACCAAGTAGTGACCATGTGTATGCCGAAAACCATAACCTCAGCCGCCTGTCGAGCCGGTCAACTTAAACTCTGCCACAGCGCATCAATCTCGGGCAGCCAACCACGACGCCACCCAGGCTTGTCCTTGGATCTGAAATCATCTGAAGCTGGCTGGCCGTGCTCAATGAAACACGGCCACGGCGACGACTCACCGCCCTTGCCTTCTTGCCACATCCGGCTTAGTGTAATCCGATAAAGCCCGATAAGCCCTGCTCGCTGCCAAATGGAGGGGCAGGATGCGTGCGAATTTTTTTTTTCTCTCGCTCGGCCAGGAGCCCAGCATCCCCCATCCGAGTTTTAGCGCACCCAGGCAGAAGGGCTAAGAAAAAAATACTTTGTGGAGGCCAGGACACATAAATCTTGTCCACCCACGTTTACGCCACCCCAGAGTTTCTTCTCCTCCTCCACCCCTATAAATCCTCTTCACGTCTCTTTTCCTCCTTGTCATCTTTTTTTTGGTCGTCATCCCTCCAGACGAACCGCGGACTTGTCCTCCAAACTCGTCCTTGTTCTTCGTTCGAGTTGTTCCTTGGATCCTCCTCCTGTGAACAACCCCACCACCGTCGCCGATAGACACAAAAACAGGGCCGCGATAGAGCAGAGTCGACTCCTCCATCGTCTCTGTGGGCTTCTCCGATAGAAAAAAAAAGGCAATACTGTCTGGATACATTTCGATAGACCTCGAGTCGATTTTAGAGCTCTGTCACTTTT